CATACCTGCAAGATTGTTATGCAAATTGATAACAAATGCAAGATTAGGAGCAGAATGGAAAGAAACAAATGCAATCAAAAAGTTAGAACTGAAAACAGAAGTCATGATCTATGACTGGACACAATTTTGGAAAAGGCTAAAGATGACTAAAGGAGTACACTGCACAACAAGAAAAACTAGTACAAGAAGATGTGCATTTATAAAGTGTATAATAAATAAACTTCTGACCCTAAAAGAACTTAATAGAAGAAGACCAGATGTATACACAATACAGAGTGCCAAGTATGTCAAGATAAAGTTAAAGAAACACAGTCATATCTAGCATCATGCAAAGGACAGCGGAGCCTGTAGAAACGAATCCAATAAGTAACTATCACAACAGCCTAGAAAGGGTTGAAGGAAGAAGAAAAAATTCGCATTCCACTACATATACTATATACAGCACTCTTTGAGAAAACTGAAGCAGAAGAGATAAAGATGAGAGAAGCATTAATCAAAGGTCTGATCCCAAAAAAGACACAAGACAATCTAACACAGCTTCTAAATACAAAGGCAAAACAGAAGTTTGTAGAAACAGTGGCAAAGCCAGTATGGGACATGTTTTATGAACAAGTCTTGAAAATATGGTGTGAAAAGATCAATGAATGGGAGAAAAAAGAAGGCATAACAATCAAAATGAAGAAAAAAGAAGTTAGAAAAAAAAATCTAAAAAAGAAAGAAAAGACAAATCAGCGAAAGATTGAGGAAGAAAAGAAACAAGCAAAAGAGAAAAAAGATAAAATTAATAAAGAAACTAGGAAGACAATGTTGAGACTTGTCATGGATAGAAGAAGACCCTTTCACTATGGACTTTAAGTAGTCAGACAAGTAGCCTACTTCTGTTAGAAGTAGTGTGGCAGGTTGCACTTAGGTATCCTATAGGTAGCCAGATGATGCTAGACTTAGTTGTTAGGAAAATCTATATAATTGCAAAAGTAATTTCAAGAACCTTAATAAAGTACTAGTGTAACTGCTTAAGTTCAAAAAAAAAAATATATATATATATATATATATTATTAAATTTAGTGTAAATTTAATTTAATATAAATAAAAAAGTAATTTAATGTTATACAAAAAACATGTAAGGATAAGCAGACCAGAATAGAGAAAAAAAATGAAAAAGAATTTTTACAAAAAAATAAAAAGTATTGTTAACTGTAATTTAGTTAATATTTGACCAAAAATCTTATTTAGAGCTTGTTTTGACTAGAAAAGTGTACTCTGTACTTTTATTTAAGAGTGAAAGTAAGTTGTAATAATAACTTTTGTGTAATAATTGAAATTATGAATTTTGAAGACCAAAGACTATCAGTATATTTTTTTTAATAAGTTTAAATCAAAAAGACTTGAAACTTTTAAAATAAATATAAATTTAGTACTGAACAAGTTTACTTAAGAGCCAAAAACAAGTTATCTTAGTAAAATAAATAATTATAAACATTTTTGTACAAACAAATTTTTTAGTTAAAATTTGTGTAAAAGATTTGCAAAAAGGGGTTTTTTAGGCTCTTAGTTAGTTAATGTAAGCAATTTTAAACTTTGACAAATTAAATAAATATATTAAAAACTTTAAAAAATTTCTAAGAATTTAATCAAATAATTAGTTTTACAAGAATAGTAGATAAAGACAAGAATTGTATAGTTGGAGTATTATAAAAGTAATACTAAGATGTAACTAAAGTAGTTGGAGTTATAAATATAAATCAGATATTAGTACAAATAAAGTTTGCAGCACAAATTACTATGTACAATTAATAAGAACTAAATATAGAAGTGACTAGATATATTTATTAAGTTTTTATTAATAGATGAGTTATAAAATTTTGAAATAAATTAATAAAGTATAAATTAGGATATGATAGTATAATTACAAAAAAAAGTGTAAAAAAAAAAGGTATAAGGTAGAGCAAAAAATTAAATAAAAGTCTTATAAAAGAATAAAAGCTAAATTTAAATATAGTTTAGCTAATATTAAATTAAAATTCTTTTTTTAGAGCTTGTTTTGACTGGAAAAATATGTATTACTTTATAAAATTATATAAATTTTGAAGTATATAATTATTTGCTAATAATAAGCATTATTTAGTATATTATAACTTTTTAAAGTAATAATTTAGAAAATTGATTCTAAATTTTTAAATTACTAGTCATAATTTAGGTCTGCAAAATAACAAATTTTAAACTTTTTTAAAAGTAATAATATTGTAATAATATTATAATAATATTTTTTTTTTTGGTATTAAGATAAGGCCTTGCTTATATCTTTATTAATAATTTAAAATATAGACCATCTCATCACTTCTGATACATCAAATATGTATAATACAAGTTGATAAAATTTATAACTAGTGTCCTAATTAATTGGTATCAAAAGAAAGCAATACTTATAGAAAAAAAAATATTTTAATATAAGGTCATAAAAGTATATATATTACAAACCTAACTATATGAACTATTTTACTAATTTACAAAATTTCAAAGAATGATTACGCATATCTGAACTGAAACTTTCTTACATATAAAAGTTTTTTTTTATTATGCTTATTGTATTTTACTTACTAAGCAAAAATATTTTCAGTAATGTTTTATATATGTGCTAGAATTTTTAAAAAGTTTGAAAAAAATTTTAATAGTACAATTATTAGCTCAAATATTTTTAAAATAAAAAATTAAATTTTTTAAATAAAATATTCAAAATCCAAAATAAATAAAACAACACTAATAAATCTCATCTAAGCTATTAGACAAATTTGTTCTCTATAGTCGAAAGTATAACATATTAAAATTTTATGCCAATATGTAAAATTTTTCTCATTGAATTTCTAAACTAGTAAACAAATTATAAAAAGGATTTGCAAAAAATTTATTTAAAATTTAAAACTTCGATTCGTCTAAATAATTTCAAAATTTGATGAGAAAATATTTTATGTATCATTATGAAACCTTTATACTGAATATTTTTGACCATGGAAAACAAGTTTACTTAATATCTTATGCAAGGTTAACACTAGGGTTGTTTTGATATTTAACACCAAATATTTTTTAATTTTTTTTTAAACCCGTAAAATTTTTTTAACTCTTATTTAAAACATAAAACGTATTAGTAAAATATTATTTAATTTTCTTTAAAATTTTATTATATGCATAAAATATCACGATAAACATTTTTACTTAATGCATAGATAATAATTTACATAATAAAAAAAAACTTTTATTATGTATCAAATTCACTACAAGGGTATGTATAACAGATATTGCTGTAGATCAATTGATATAAATTGGTATTTCATCTACTCTTCCTTGTTAAGATTTTCATCTCCTGAATACAAGTCTATGTCTTCATCTTCACTCTCATCATTTATTCCAACCTCGACTATTTCCCAATAGTTTCTCGCCTTACTTAAACATTTTTTCCAGCATGAAATAACTACCACTGGTTTTATCTCTTTCTAGAAGGAACTAAGTAAGACATTCTAAAGAGAAAGAATATCTGACTGCTTTCGCCCTCCTGCGACTTTATTTTTTACAATTCTTCACACTATCTTGATCAGCTGCAGCTCACAATAATATGGAAGTGTAAAAAGAAGACGATGACCAAACTTCTTTGCAATAGTGACAGTGGCAAAAGGGATAGATTTTTTCTCTTTTTTTGTCAATTTATATAGTTCCGCTTTTGTCATACTAGAGTCAAAATCAATTTTGTAGGATTCTAGCCATTTCTTTATTACAGGTTTATTCCAATTAGAAGTTGGCACAGCTTTAGAGCGAGGTTTGTTGTATCTTGTCCCATCCATATGGATAATATATGATCCATAATCATTGTGAAAATTTTTACAAAGATTCTCAAAAATTTTTTCAAATACTTCTGCATTAAAATTTCTGTGATAATCCACTGTATCTGGAACTATACCAGCCATGTTTACTCATTCGGGACTGTCTTCCATGCTTTTGCATTCTTTTTTTTCTTCCTTTCCCAGTAGGTGGCTTTGCAGTAGGGTCCCAAATAAGAAGAGATTTACAAATGAACTCTCCTTCCACTTTATTGCTATTTTCATTACAAAAAATGATGATAGCTCCAAATATAACTAACATACGAACCCTTCCCTTTTCATACACTACACCATTTTTTAGAACCCAGGTCAAATTGTGATTATGGTGCATATAGCAATACAATTCATCAAAGAAAACTTTTGGAAAAGTTGGTATATTATTTTGTCCTTGAATATTTTTAAATCGCCAATGGAGATATCATGCCTGATACAAAATATTTTGAGGGGCCTCATGAATAATATTTCATCATTCTTTCTTGCCGTAATTATAACCAAGCTTTTTCAAGTAACATGCTAATTGTGCCTTTGAAATTACAAAGCCTAATTCAGATAATTCAAAGACTGGGGCTTGAAGGGAAAGAGGAAGACCATCTTTATTTGCAGAGAGAACTAAATCATGAACTGCATTCACATATTCTGCTTGAAAATCTTTAGGAGTTCGTTGACCTTGTTTTGATGATGTAACCTTTTTAGCTTTATTGAATTCAGCAATGACATGGGCAACAGTTGCTTCACCAACTCCTGTTGCCAAGGAAACTTCTTTACGAAGGTTAGTGGCTTGCTTTGACAGCACATTGGTCATTTTTTCTTTAAGATAACTATGGACGGATAGGATCATCTTTTTCTTATTAACGGTTAGGGCGATTGGAGTACGGTCGATTTGGTCCATAGCGAATTGATCGATTGTGGTGATGTAACATAGGGTTAAGACTTTTACAGTATTTATGATATATATATATGTGTATATGCATTATGTGATTATTGCACTTGCATTCATCCTTTCAGCTTATACTATTTTGTCTAAATTTGTTAACTAAAAAAAGTTGTATGTTAACAAACAAATAAAATTATGAATGACCTTTAACTACCAACACAACAGTTCTATAATTTATAATTTGGAGACATAAATTTGATTATATATACTTAGGTTCAATGCATCATATATTTTTAATAACTGTGCCCTATATATTATGAAATATTTAAGGTAAAATACTCAAGGTAAATTAGTAAAAATGTGTTAAAAAAATAACAAGTTTGTTTAAAACAAATTTGCAATTATTTATTTTCCATCATTTTTATGACATTTTTTTTTTATTTTAGCTTATAAACTATACCAATATAATATACTCTTCTGGATATAAATTTAAAGCATTGTAAATAATCAATTATTTCTTATGAAATACAAATAGCAAATTTAATAAATATAATATTTCTTATGAAATATGAATAGCAAATTTAATAAATATCGTTGATTAAATTAAAATGTAGCTAAAACAGATTTTATTACTATGAAATCTTTCCTTGATACCCTAAGTAAATTTATTCATCTAGTTTTTGTCGTTCTAAAGAGGGTAAGATGATTAAATTTGCCTGGTAGATCATTTGCAATGGCTCCTTAAACTTTAGGTAAGATTAATTACAATGATCTCTAAACTTTGCAGATCATTTAAACTGTTTAATAAAAACTGTATAGAAATCAGACAATCTTTGAGGGGCCATTGTGAACTATTCATCTGGCCGAATTTAATTATACCACCATATTTAGGACCACAAAACCCAGGTGAATAACATTTATTAAATTGCTACAAGAGGTTTACATACTAACAAAAACCTCTTTTAGACCGATTTTGAATTTTTTAATCATGTGACTATTAATTTTTTGGCTTTATATTTTCTGTTTGTATGAGTTCGCTGGAATACTTTAGGTATAAAAATTTAAATTTAAACTACTTTTGTAATAGTATTTGACTCTATATTACTAAAAATGCTTAATTTTAGTAAAAAGGTTATATTTTATTGTTGAAACCTTCGATAAAGTAACTGTTATTGATGTTATTCCTAATAATTAAGGAAATTGTTGGTCATATTTCTGTATGTATAAACCACTTTTTTATATAAGCAATTAAGAGAATTATTATTCACATTTTCTTCTATGATGCTGGGCTATATGCTTGCATAGTAGCACTGCATGATAATGTATTTTGACCTACTTTACATAGTAACAAATAAAAATATTGTACATGTTATTAATTTTTTAACTTTAAATAGGGCAACTTTGAGTGGCTGGTTTTCATTAATGAAAAAACATAATGACTTATAGTTTTTTTTATTTAAAAGCTTAAATAGTAAGGATTATTGTCAATAAATTTAATAGGTGTTTATTAATAAAAATTTAGATCTATGTTATTTTTATCAAATGTATCATGCTCGTATATTACGCTTAATGAGACAGCCAATAGTTACATATATATATGCTATGACTGAGGCCAACACTTGCAGTTAGGGCTAACCATTAAACTGCTAACTATACAGCTACTACTATTTGTATAAAACAAATAAATTAAAAATTACATGCAAGAATAAAAGCTCAGACTAATTTATCTGCGACCTAAACCTACTAAAATGGTCAAAGCTCATCTAGATTTGAATGTTTAGTATATAATTTGATGATATGATATATTTGATCTATAGAATAGACAAAATATTAATTTTGCGAATTGCTTGGCCAATAGGAAAACATGTGTTAGAGTGAATATTTAGTTGATCTGGAAGTCCACAGAGGCATGAGTAAGTATAGTTTCTACGAAAACATGTATGCCTAGTTGCTAAGTTAAATGATGTTGAAAATTTGTTGATTAGTTGAGATTAAGATATGTTTTGTTTTTTTTCAGTTAGAGAAATAAATGCAATATGTTTTCCATAATTGTTCGTATGATTGTTCATTGATATTGAGAAGAATATTGATAATAACTTAAGAGGCAGTTTTATATAATATGTTAAAGTTTTGAACTGTTGATATGAGTGACTTTGAAATAAGTCCTTTGAGAGTAAGATTAGGATAAAATGTGTTAGACAAGATGTATAAGGGGTTAAGAGCTGGATGATGAAAGATTTTATGAATTAAATCATTTTTATGATAATTATCAAGATTAGATAATTTGTTGGAGATAATTTGATTGGTAAATGTTTGAATAATTTGGTTAATCAAAAGTGTATTAGCACAAGTATGCCAGTAAAAATAAGAGTTAGCTAGGTTACAGTGACAGCAATTAGTATCTGAATATTGGTTTTGGGTAAATAGTATAAAATAGTTGATATGTTGATAACTCATTAAGAAGATTTTTGATTTTAAAAGATTTTAGTTGGTTGAGTCTAAAATTGGTAATATTGTGTAAAGGTTTTTGATTATAATTAAAATAAAGCCAAGTGGATCTCTAGTCAATATCCTGATTGAAGTATGACCACTTGCTATTACATTTTTGTGATGCCCATATAGCTTTTTTTTTTTAAATATTAAGGTAAGTACTTGCGATTCAGGATTTTATTGATAGTACATTCAGCTAATGGTTGCTTTATAACCACAGGAGACAATTATGAAAAAAGTATATAATTAGCTATTTGTACAACTTTAGTCATTGTCTAATTTAAGTAGTCCACCCAAAGGTTTTATACTAGCTGCCATACCTGGAACCTGCTTTAGATTTCCTATTTAACCACTCTGTTCTTGTATCCACCCACCTACTTATACCTACTAAAATGCCCTGGTTGATACTGGTTCAAACATGCCATGGTTATTAAGTCTTTAAAGCAGTTCACTCATATGGGAAACCTTTGACCAAGTACTAAACCTTTCAGAATCTTCTGTATCCTATTCTTACAGCTGACCTGATATTGCTATAGCTGAGACCAACACTGGTGGTCAAAGTGTACCAGTAAACTGTTATGCCCTTGTAGAGTTTACCCCAACCCCAGTACTGACTTCACAACATATCCTTACTACTTTGGTATTCAATTCAAGTTCCACCAAGCTGCCATTCCAGATAGCCCGGAAAGGTAGGTCAAAACCATACATTTCTGGTTCACATGTTTGCCACTATGTGCCTTTTTTCTCCGGAACTTGGAAATTCCGATGGCCTGGTTGGTTCATCCGGTCCCTCCTTAAAAACCAGCACATTTGTCTAGTTTCACAAGTTCTAGCTTCATTTCATAAGTCTAGTCTTTACAGTAGCACCATCGAAGATTTAGGTTACCTTTCTACTCGGGTCTTCCAAGTGGGCTTTCATCTTCCTACCTGGTTCTCTTGATTTACACAGCCTAAGGACTTATCTTGGGTTCATACTGCCTGGTACCAGTTTGTGTTCCCTTGTATAACATTGTATGAGTGCCTTAGACCTTCCAGTCATGCTGATATAATACAAGTTACAGATATCCTATCTCAACCAATCATAGAAGACAGTTAGCCATAACACAGAAAGAATTGCAAATTTTCACTGTCACTGGGATTTGAACTCTAGACCTGCCACTTGGGGGTTGACAACCTATCCACTTCACTAGATCACCACACCCCTCATTTTTTTATATCTTTTTTTAGTTTTTTTTAATAAAAAGTAGAGATTTAACTTACTTTTATTAAAAGATCAATATATTATTTTTTTTATAATTATATGCTTGTTTGAATATAATAAATAAAAAATACAATAAATAAATATATAAGTAAGTTAATTATGTAAAGCAGATTAGAAAAGAATTTAAATCAGAAAAATCAAATATTTGTTAAAATATATATATATTTTAAAACTATATATATAATATTTTTTTAAAAAATAATTATAGAGGTTTATAAAGAATTGAACTACTTAAGTGCATTTCAAGCCTTAACATAGCATTTTAATTGTTTGAAGATTTCTTCTATATAGAAAGTGCCTAGCTCAAATTTTATTTTACAAGTAAATATAGTTTTTATTTTAGTTAAGAATATTTAGTTTCTAGAAAATAGCTATAACTTATAGTAAATATAAAAACATTTTAATAAGTAACAATCATAAAATAGAGTTTTATTTTATTAGCAGATTTTTTTTTATTCTAATAAATTAGTTTTATTTTCTTTTTATTTTTAGTTTTATTTTATTTTATTTTATTTTTTTTTAAATCTTAAGTAGTTATGCTAGTATTTTATTAAGATTTTTGAAACTATACATATATACAATTACATAGAATTTTTTAATATCTAAGCCTAACATTACTCAGTTACCCTTATGGTACCTAAGTGCAACTTGTTGCATTATTTCAGTTAGAGATAGACTGCTCTTTTAACTACTTAAAGCCATACCAGAAGGGCTTTTTCTCTTTTGTAACAAGCATATTGATTGTCTTCCAAGCTTTCTTCTTTATTTGGTTTGCTTTTTTTATTTTTTTTTTATTTATTTTTTTTTTGTTTATTTATTCTTTTTCTTCCCTTTATCTGTTTTTTCTCTTGCACAAGCACATTTTTTCATTCTGTTTGTTATATTAGTCTTTTTTTTATAGTCTTGTATTTTTTTATATCAAACTCTTTATACTTGGTTATAGAAGGTGTTTCATACTGTTCTTGTTATTATATCAATACATTTCTGTATTGTCTGCTTGTTTAAGAGTTATTTGAGTTTCTTTTTTACTTTTATTTTCATGAGTCCCTTTATCAGCACTTTCCTGTTTGTGATTTCTTCTGCTTCTGATTTTCTGAATAGCATTTCATATAAAACCTATGGTAGGATTCTGTTTTTCTCTTCTTCTTTGAGCTCATTCTATGCTGTTGCTATTGCAACTTTTTGAATCTGCTTCTACAAACTTTTTTGTTTGATACAACTTGCTAGGTGTGTTTATGTTTCTTTCTTTCTAGCTTGGCATACCTGTAGGGTAACTGGCATGCCACTAGTGGTCATGCCACCATGGCATGCCAGGTCATGGCATGCCAGTGCATGCCCAAAATGCTTAAAATGCATCTGGCATGCCACTTATAATAAAATATAATTTGCTTTTATATAATATTAAAATCATCAATTAATTAAACTTAATTATAAATTTATTATTTAATATATTATTTTATGCACAACAATAAAAATATCTTCACTACTACAGATATAATAATTTGTATTATCATCTCATTTATAATTTGTAATTTCTTGACAAAAATATAAAACATTATCATTATACAATTCATTACTGTGTAGTTGTAAAAATCTTGTTTTTATCAAGTAGTTACCAAGCCATTATTTTACAGTCATTAGACCAAAATTGAACTAATTATTTATTCTAGAATCTAATTGCAGAACTTAAACTATAAACATAGAAGGATGGTTTCTTTTAAAGAAAATACTAATGCTAATCTAATTGTTCAACAATGAGATGCTCGGAAAGTGTGAGAACGTAGGATTATAAATTAACGATTTATTATGTACTAGGCGTATGATCATTATGCAGGTTACCTTAATTTATGCAGGTTACCTTAATTTATGCAGGTTATTACAGGTTTGCATCTTGGACAATTTAAGTGTATATATGAAAATTAAGGGATTACTAATTTTAGTAATAAACAAGATCGTATGTACTATTGAATGTTAATTTTTTATCTGAGAAATGCAAGCCAGTTAAAAAGAATCCTTTTGCCATGTTGGATTCTTTAGAATTCCTGTTCTTATATTACTTTACATTATTTGGAAATGGGGTAATTGATGAAATTAGATCAGGAAAATGAATAAATAATACGCAAAGCATAGTGATTAATACCCACTATCATAAAAATGAATTAGTTAGTCAGAAATATTGCAACAAAAAATTTCGCATAATACTGCTTAGTTGACAAACCATTCATATCATAGAATTCTAGAGATCTCTTGCAATATAGGTGACACCATAAATAAAATGTACATTAATCAATTGATTTAGAATAGATGTCACCTATACTATAAGAGATCCAATGCGAGATCCTGAAGAATATACATTATCATCTCATCTGAAAGTGGGTAAATTTGCCTGCTAAATAAAAGACATGTGAAATTTACAAACAGTGACAATAGTTCATATGAATAATGCCAAGAAAACTTGCAAATCAGCATTGCTTTCAATCATAGTATCTCAAGATCTAATAACCTGATTAAAAGCAAAACTAAAAATACTGATTTACAGATTTTCACTTGTATCAATCATGCCCTTGATATTGAATCATGTATATTATAATAACAAAAGAAAATATATAACATGAAGAAAAAACCTTCATCAAATGTTTTTTTCGTGAAGACCTTATCTATAAAGAAATAAAATACTATTATCATCATAGGATACTAATAAAAAAAAATTCATAATGCAATGCCAACCTTCTACTGGCTTCATTCTTCCTGATATGACAACTCATGATATCCGATGGACTGGGTTTTGGCATTCTGAAGAAAAAATCATAGGCAATAGCAATAGATATAAAGTCAAATGCTTTTATTGTAATTTAGAAATATCTGGCAGGACAGAAAGACTCCATAATCATGTTCTTTAATGTGATTGTTGGCCTGCTACTAATAAAAGTGACTACATTAAAAAAGTTACTAGTTCTAATTCTCAAAAAAAAATCAAACTTAGCTCTATCTCTGATCAGAAACAGTCAACGTATGTAATTGCAAATACAATCAATATTGTCTAATTGCATGCCATCTGTTAGAGGTTTTTTTTATTGCATATAGACAGTATATGAATTTAAGTTATAAAAACCATTTTTGTGTTAGTAATTAAACTCAAAATTTTTATACATTTAGAGAGTATGTGCAATTAGACAGTATCAAATATATTATTAAATATAAATATTTTAATTTAGCTAATAGTAATTTATACCATCATTATTCATAACTCGCCCTCTTCAGAAATGAAACGTCAAAAAAACTTGATGAATTGGGCTGTCAAACCGATGTCACAAGATAAACGAGTTAAAATTAACAAAAAATTACTTGATGCCATTATTTATGGCAATATTTCCTTCAACTTTGTTGAGAATCCTTATTTTCTTAAGTTTCTTGATGAATTAGCTCCAAGCTACAACCCACCCTTCACTGATTCATTAAAAAACAATGTTCTTAATAATTCATTTTCAACTTACTTGAACAATAAGTTCGAATTAATGAAATCTCTTACAGACATTACTATCGCTTTAGACAGATGGCAAGACATATCTAGAAACTTGGTTTATGGTTTTATGGCCTTAAAAGAGAATAAGGAGTATGTTTTAGATATCGTTGATTTGTCACCAAGTTGGCATACAGCAATATTTCTAAAAGAGCAGTTAGAGAAAGTTCTTAAATCAAATTTAGTTACTATTAATTCTATTGTTGCATGTGTAACTGATTGCCCTTCTGTTATGGTCAAAATGAAAAACAACCTTAAAGATGAATATCTAAACATTATTCCTATCCATTGTTGTCTTTATACCTTTAATTTGCTTGCAAAGGATGTTTCTGGTTTTCCACCTTTAGTTTCAGTTATCAAAAATAATCAAAAGCTCGTTAATTTTTTCACATCTTCTCATATTTGGTTTAGAGCATTGCAAGATTGGAGAAAGAGAGAAGGACTGAACCATTCACTTACATCATTTTGCGAAACCAGATGGTACTCTCTTACAAAAGTCTGCCTAGGAATAAAAGCATATGAATAAGGATTTCAATATTGTATTGCTCTTAGTAAAACTAATAATTATCCTATAATTAGAAAAGAAATTCAGGATATAGTTAATAATCATCATTATTTTGCCAATAATAATACATTAGTAACAGTGCTTAGTCCTATCATAAATGCTATTGGTAACCTTGAATCGAGAGATGCTACATTATTTAATATCTTTAAAGAGTTAATAAATATTTATTATACTATTTCCTCTTTAGATATTCCACTATTCGGGTTTCAAGATCATGCCTTGATGGCTATGAATAAGCGTGCTCATGAGTTTTCTGATAATATTTATTTTATTGCTCTTTTTTTGTCACCTAATTACAAAAAAATAGCAATTTCAAAAAAAATGTCTGGAGATACAATTATTAGAGCTATCTTGGAATTAGCAAAAACCTGGAGTTTCGATAAGAAAGAAGCAATTCTTTTATATCAGGAACTTATAAATTATAAAAATGATAATTTTTTTTTGAATACTCAAGTAAATACCAATGATCTTAATCCAAGAGCTTTTTGGGCTCAGTTCCGTAGAGGTTTTCCACTCCTTCAACATTTTGCAATGAAGGTCTTTGCAATTGTTCCACATGTAACGGCTGTCGAGCGTCTTTTCTCTAGTTTGGGTTTGGTAAAAACAAAATCAAGAAATAAAAGATCTCCTGCTCTAATGGGAATGGTCGGAATGCTTCGTCATGATCTTCAACAAAGATTGTTTGAAATATTAAAAAAAAAAAACTAAAATGAAAAGTCAAGGATCAACTTCTACTGATGATATAAATTTGGAAAATGCTAGTGTTGATATTCTTTTTGAGGAATTTGATGAAGATGAAGTTTCACAAATTGATATCGAATTACCGGATTTTGATACGAATAACAATGAGCTAATAATGGAAGAGTTTTTTGATATGAGAACCTTTGAAGAACAAATTATGATTGAAGAAGGTTCCCAACCTCAAGAAAATACTATCAGCAATGAAGATTGGTCAATTAATGATATCTTCTGACCTTAACAATTTAATATGCATTAATTATCCAAAATCTGCAGACGGGTGTTGTTTAATGGATTGTATCATGTTGGATATTGTTATTATTCAGGGTTCGGATGTTATAATTGATAAGTAAAAGGCATTATTCATTACTAAATCTACAGAAAAGTAACTTTTGAAGAAATGAAAATATATTAAAAAAAAAAAAAAAAAAAAAAAGGAAAAAAAAAGATAAAAAAGGAAAAAAGGTTCTGTATTTGCTGTTTTGTAAGTGATTTGAAGTCACAAATGATCTGTCTGCAAGTGTTTTAATAAACTTATTTGATCTTTATTCTATTTACTTAAATAAGCTTTTAAAAAAATCATGCACTGTGTATTTTTAAAATTTGAGTTCCGTTCTTTGAATATCACGATGCTGGTGTCACAGGTTCCTCATGACATTTTGTCTGGACTTGGTCATGTGTATCGATATATTATAATTGTGAACGTTGATTGTAAGCAATGGTTGTGAACAAGGTAAAGTTATCAAGACAGAGCATAGTAACTCATAAGGTGGCAGAATGTATAAAAAAAGCTTCTTTTCATGTTAATAAAAATGATATTTATTAGATATTGGTTATTAAAATTCTTAGACTCTAATTATTAAAGTACTAAAGTTGTATGCATTGCTTTTCTAATCAATATATGGTTTTGTGCAACATATAGTGGCATGACCAGGGTGGCATGCCAGGCAAAATTTTAGCAGGTGGCATGCCACCATGGCATGCCACCATGGCATGCCACCATGGCATGCCAAATTTTTAACCTGTGCCAGTTACCCTAAACCCAGGTAATGCTTACCCGGGTCCAATCTCTAAATCAGTTGTACTCTTATTCTGTAATAGTTCCATGTAAGCACCATTATCTAAAAAGTGTTAATAAAGTTAAAAGACCAAAATATCATCTTAATACTAAAAAAAAGATCAAATAAAATATACTGTTATAATATAAGATTATTATTAAAAAAAAATTTTTATTCATTAGTAAAATTTTAATATAATATTTTGTATAATTTTATTAATAAAATTATTATATAATCTTTAATATTAAAAAAAAAAAATAATTATTATATAACATAATAATACTTAAAATTTTACTATTTGATTCTAACTTTAAATATATTTAACATTTAAAAATACATTCATATATTCCAAACTTCAAACTAATTCACAAATTCAAACCAAACCCGAATCAAACTCATACTAAACTAAAAAGTTTGAAATCAAACCCAGACTGAACATGAATTTAAAAAGTTTGAGTCCAGTTTGAAAATCAAAACTTAAGTTTGGTTCGGTCCGGTTCGATAGGAGCACTACTATAAACATTATATTTCCTGTTTATACTGTTTATATATTATTTTTAACAAATTTATGATTAAAAAAAAGTTCCAATTTTATTAAAAGGTTAAAATATTGTAATCTATACAATGCATGTAATAATATATGGATCACGAGCAAGATTTATTCGAGCTGTCTAGCAAGTATTTTTGACATTTTTTTTTTAGTTGAGCAGCAGTATATTGATACACATTCAACTTTATATCCCTAAACATAGACTCATAATCATCACCATATTTATTGATCAATTTTTCCACAAATCGTCGTTCTTCCTCAGAATGATATTGCTCTCTTTTATATACAACTGAAGCTTTTGCTTCTAGTTCTTTTTTTACAAATTATGACAATTAATTATGGCTTGATCAGTTCCTTGCTAGACGAGAGAAACAAGGTTAGACATACAAACCTCTTATGATATCTGTTTTCGCAGGTGTGGGATGAACATTTGTATCAAATCCTTCATCTTTCTCCTTATCTATAATAACTTCGATCACATTTCCCTGGTCGTCACGTTCAATAATACCTCGATCTGGTTCTCGAGACCTCTTTAGCTCTTCAATATCTAACGGATTAGACTCATCACGGTGTAATTTCTCAACACCTCCCGCGACACCATTTAAAGATACCATAAGACCCATACGTTGATAACTGGCGATAACAAATGAAATCATCGAAATCAACCTTCAATACGCAGAAATTCTAATAATCAAAGACTATAATATATGTGAATACATGCTTTTGACGTAGTGTGGCTTTTTTGTCCCAGTTGGCAGCAATAATGGAATCATTCTGAAATAATTTAGTCAATTAGCTTTGAATTAATTTGGTATTAAACCACAAATCGTTTCAATACTTTGATGCGAGTTTTCTTGAAATACTTATTCGCTGTTCTTCGCGAAACTTTCAATGCTGGGTTACGTATTTTACGACGTTTCCGAGGAGTGGTCATATCGCAAAGAAGTACGAATATGTTAAGAAAAAATCAGGTGATAAATAGGGCTATAAAAATTTTTGAAAATCCTATAAATACTGTTGTCAATCAATTTGAATTATCGTTATGGAATCGTTAGATTTACGTTCACTGAGTTACGTTGAGGCCATCAATTCGAATCTTATTTGTTGCATTTGTCAGGCTCCCTTCGTCGATCCAGTGGTTATAGAATCATGCGGGTAATTAAGTGGTTCTCTCAACATACATATTAAGGTATATTGACAAATCTTCTATTTTAGACACACCTTTTGTAGTTCATGTATAAATCAAGCAATAACATCAAGGCCGACTTGCCCAGTTGATCGTTCTAGACTTTCTGATGTCTGTGATCTTAAACCTGCTTCCAAGATAGTATCTAATATGGTTAACGAATTGTTAGTTTACTGCTCAAATAAGGATGTTGGCTGTAATTATCAAGGCCAACGTCAACTATTAAGTTGTCACCTGAAAGAAGGATGCATGTTCACCATTGTAGAGTGTTGTAACGAGGAATGTCAAGAATCAGTTCTTAAAAAAGATTTATCAAAACACATGGAGAAATGTAGAGCCGAAGTTATCAACCGTGAAAGGTGTAAATGTAAAGTTCAGTTAAGTACTTTAGAGGTAAGCTAAACGATGATGATATTTATTAAAATATTGTTGTATTTGACTGTTACTTTTTTGTTGTCTAATTATTTAGACAGCTAAAGCTTGAAATGTTTTAAAAGGGGCATTGTGACTCTTGTCCACTCAAGTATATCGAGTGCCCTCACTGCCATACAACACTTGTTCAGTCAGCTAATGATATGCACCTTGAAGAGTGTTCAGAAAGGCCTTCCACGTGTATTCATGCTGAATATGGTTGCTCCTGGACTGGTCTTCAACGCGATTTATTGAAAGTTCATATCCCATCTTGTTCATATGAACCATTGAAAGATTTTTTCGCCATCTACAAACAACGTAATGAAATTCTTGAACAAGACAACAAACAACTTCGAACAACAGTTCAAGAGCTTAGTAAAATGGTTAAGTCTTTACAAAACCAGTTATCTAGCATATCTGATTGGTTGGCTTCTATATTTCCATCCCACTTTCTAAATCCCGAGAATACTGTAATGGCTTCTGAAGGACCACCATCTCTTTTAACAACGCATGAATTACTACTATCGGAAAACGAACGTTTTAAAAACGATATCGAAACTTTAAATGTCAATTTAACTGAACTAGAGCTAAGACAGAATGTTGCTCTGATGACAGAAAGCTTGAGAACACAAGAGGAAATACAGAATCTTAAGAATATATGTCATAGTTTAAGGATGCAAATGCATTATTTATTGATAGAAAGGCGAGGTGATGAACCGTCTGTTCGGAATGTTGTCAACACAACGTCTGTAGCCAGATCAAGTCTTACAGGAACTCTAGTATCTGGAATATCGGGTACCAACGGAGGCACTTTATCAAAATCGGATGTTTTAAGAACAACCATCCGACCGTCAGGCTCTAATATTCCTTCGAATGTCCAACCGCTCAGGAAATTTGGCTCTTTTGATCCTGGTAATATAGATAATTTATTGTTCATTAGTTCTATGTCATTGAAGATTTTTTATAACCTTCTTTTTATTGATGATTAGATTCCCCTCGACAAGAGAAACTTTGATCCATTAAAATATGGTTATTATTGTTGTGTTTTCTTTATACAATAGTTTCAATAATAAAACATGTATAGTATACTTTTGACATAATTACTGCGAGAAATTATATAGTTATAATATTGATATCGAATTCTGCAATTATAGATTTATAAATATAAATGTATTGATTCATTCCTTACATAATAGCTTATGTTTAATAATCTATCATAGAAAAACCTTTCGATAAAAAATATAATTATAAACTATATTGGTAAATTGACTTCATCTTAGCCATAATAATTGTTTTACTAATCATAATTCCGTTAATTCGGTTAATTTTCGGGTTTACTAACATAATATTTCAATTTGCTCGGTAAAAGTTAAAACTTTAAAATTGCCGAATTTTCATTAATGAGCTAATCATAAGTTTCTTAACAAGCTTTACAGTATTATTATGTGTAGACATTGGACAGAATTTACACTGTTTAGTTACAAATATGGTGTAATAACTTTCTAGCCTATTGAAATGAATTTTTTTTATATTCTATGCTCTTCAATTTTCGCCGTTTTGCTGTCTCCCGTTCATCTTGCTGTTTGATCCATCATTTGTTTGACTTCTGAGACCCTTTACTTTCTTTCTCTTGAGTTTTCTCCACTGTCCATTGTTCAAATTAATTTCAAAGATTAAAGTTTCTGTGGTTGCTTTGCCATCGTGGTTTCGAGCAGTCTCTTCGTGCAAAATTATTTGACGCACGGGATCGTCGGAATTAAGAATACCGACAGAAGCAGCTTTGAGTTGACTTGTCTCTGCTTGTGACAAAATAAAAATAAACCGTGTTAATTAGAAAAAATGCTTCATATTATAAGGCTCGCGCCATTGGTGATCCTAAAATAGTCATTATTACCATGAACACCGCCTAAAAAGTTAATAATTATTTGTCTCAAATAAGCATTATCATTAACTTTATTTGCTTCGGTTAACACTGCAACACAATTCCGTTCAAAGAGAAGTCTTTCTGAAGGAGACATATTTCGCCTAGGCTGTTCTTCAAACTGCTGGGATGTCGGTTGCAATTGCACTGGTTGTTGTACTGATCATAAATAAAATTTAAATTTTAACGATTATTCGTATTCTTTTAAACATCAAAAATTGCGCAATTTACCTGGAGTAATGTCAGATGTCATCTGTTGCCTTGATGATTCCGCTTCAGTTGAAGTTTCATGTACAAAGTTAGTGTTAGTTGTTGAACTATCGATATTCTGATCATTAAATTGATTCGCTGGTGGTGATAAAGAAGTAGGTGACGCAACAATTGTTTGGGGATTTTTATGAGACATCTCTCCATCAGAGACAGTTTCCTCTTCAACTACATCATCACCTGAAAGTTTGATAATTATGAGTAATTCATTCTAAATAATTGCAATTAAATAACTATGGTCGATATTGAATCTGTTTTTTCATAAACATTTAGATAGACAAGATTCACTGATGTACATGGAATACAGAGTTAACCGCTGATTATTGGAATAAAAAAATTGGTACTTGCTATTTAATCTCTTCTTTTTTCGCGTCCCTGCACATACAAAAATTAATTAATAAATAAATTAGCTAACAAACTAATTATTTGCTACAGTATGTGATATCTTTATAATTACCTGGATAGGTATTTACTTGCGCATCCGTAATTTCAGTTTCAGTTGTGGTGGTAACCTTCGTAGTGGTTTTCCTTTCGGTCTTTTCACTTCTTCTTCTTTTCGCTTCTTCTTTTAACCGTTGCTTTTCGGCCCTTTCAGCCTTTTCTTGTTCTTTTTGTTGTCTCTTCTCTTCCTCTTCACGTCGTTTTTCTTCCTGCTTTTTTTCTCTTTCAAGTCGTCGTGCTTCCTTCGATTGTTGTTCCTCTGACCGACATCATACAACAGAAAGTAATGTACACATTATCAAAAATTGGCAACACTGATAATATTCCAGTCAAATGTATAAAAGATAAATCAAATAGAGCCACTTAACAAAAGAAATAACGGTGGGATATATGCGTACCTAATTGAGTCTGCCGCTTTGATTCTTCCTGATCCTTAATAATTTTTGATCCCGTTGATATATCAATCATTTGAATTCTTGATGGTTTTTGATATTTTTTGCCTTGGGTAATGGTTACCACTTTTTGCTCGGTAGGTGATTCCGAACCTTGCGAAGATGTTCCTGCTGTGTTAGTAAATAAATTCATCAAGATAAAATGTGTACATTGGTCGTGTTATTATGGCACACTTCTGATTGTGTAAATTTGAGGATTTTTACCTTTAGGGTATGTTTGTGTTAGTTGCGAAGGTCGACGCTTTGGAGGAATAAAAAGTGATTGTCCGGAAGAGACTGAATTGGAACGGCTTGGAGGACCATGTAAAGCCTGAATTGGTGATTGACCAACCGGTGGAAAATTGAACCCAGTTGCGTTTACTGGTGAGGTCAAACCTGGAGAAGGAGGTACTGACATATTGTTTAGAATCGCTGTACGTATTTGATTGGCAGAATTGGCAGTTGAATCTCGCAAAATAAAATGCGGTGATGTAACAGAAGAGTTCAACGAGAGCGTAGAAAAAGAATCGCAAACATTGCGATCAATAAATGCATATTCAACTGGATGGAAATTGATCCCATTTTGTCGTACTAAAAGTCAGGAAAAAACAAATGAGCTAAAATGAATGAATTTACAATCATTAAAAAAAAGGAAAAATTTTACTCTTGTTCATTAGATTTTGAAGCCCATTCTGAGCAGCAGGCGGGATAAGTTGTTCTATATTCAAATCAAGCGCTGTAGTATTTGGATATTCCCGCAACATTTTCGATATCAGAACAACCCATTCGTCTTCATGTTCTTGAGTGCCATTTTCGATTATCTGAATTGAAATCATACATTATAGTAAGTAATAATGATAGCATAAAAATTTAAAGCCAATAATTCATTGCCCTCTGTGCTGTACAAAGAGAGCATTCATAACAATTTTTGCAGCGCATTCGCTATCAATAGATCCGTCATGCATGAACGAAGCATAACGATGCATTATAAATAATTTATTTAATGGTCCTGTAGGATTCCCGCACAAAAAAATTTTTCATATAGCAAGTACATTATGATATTACAATTTCTAGATTGATAAAAGTGACCCATCTCTTATGAAACATAAGATGTGCTGAAGATAATAGACATTTATTGGTTGATCAAAATAAAGCTAGAACCTGTATTTATTTTATTTTGTATGTTTTCTCGAGCATCATTATAGCTTTATTGTTTAGCAAATCCAACATTTTTTTAGAAATCAACCATATTAAAAAGTGGACACGTAAAAGCCAAATCCACCACGATCAGTTCGGCATTCAAAACGCCAACTATGTTATTGCTTACCGCTGATAACTCGTCCTTCATCTTGCTCACCAATAGCTTTCTGATACTCATTATAGCAAACAAAATTCCTAACTTAATATTAGGTGTGTAGGTGTCCCAGTGATTATAAATATGTTGCAATTTTTCTTGTGAGAGTTCTGGGCCAACCGTTGTGGGAAACGACCAAGGTTTTGTCGACGCTTCCGCAAGCCAGGCCTCTACACCTTCAGGCGTACCACGATCCTGGGCCATGTTTTATGCTGAAAAAAAATTTTTTATCACGAAAGTTTCTCTGTAGATTTGTTTTCAAACTAACGTATTGTCAAAAGTTCTGATCGATTGTCCTTTTATATACTGCGTGCACGTACGTACTTAAAACTTGAGCTACTTATTCAAAACAAATACACGTGACAGTAATGTTACATTTCCATATTAATAGTACATTTCCATATTAATATAAATTAATAATTATCTATCTTGAAGACTACTTTTTAAGCAAAACTTTTTTGTTATATATATATTTTTATTTAGCTATTAAGATTTATTGCTTGAAAATATTTTTTTTAAAAAATATGTATATAATGTATATTGATATTTTGTATATATTGTATATACGTAAAAAAAAAAATTTTTTTAACAGTTAATTATTTTATATATCTGATACGTATATTTATAAAATGTCACGGCTAAGACTAATACTAACGCTAAGATTAATATGTAATATATCTTGGAAACGCCTACTTTTACCATGAAAATTTACTATTTCTACCAGTGATTACAATTCATTATGTTTGTTATGTTTATATAATTAAAAACCATATAAAAATCATTGGTAAAAATAGTAATACGTAAAAATGTGTGTTCTCTATATTTTTTACCTTTTTAGTATAAAGTAATATTATTATTAAATTTAATTAAAAAAATAAATTTTATTTAGGATATTTCTACTTTTTGTTAATAAAAATCATTATATAAAATTATTAAAGTATAAAAAATAAAAAAAAAATAAAATAAAAATTTTTTTTTCTTTTGGCTGTTTTGTTATAAACTTTTAAGATTTTTGTATACATAATATATACATTTTGATTTAAATTTTTAGTTTAACATTTGGCTGTTTTTACAAATATTTATATATATTAGACTAGTCTAAAAGGTTATAAATAAACAATTTTAATGTTTTATAAATAAATTTTTTTATTGAAAAATACTACAATTAATCTATAATGATTATTTTTATTCCTATTTTAGAGTTAGGATGCAGTTTGAAACAGAAGCAAGAATTAGATATAATAGTCCAGATTTTAGATTACATAAGGTTTTTCAGAGGTTCTGAACATTTTTACTTAGTTTACCTGACTTCTGTTTCTTAGTGTGTTTTTTGAGATATAGCTTCTAGATGATGATCACCATAGGTTATAATTAGTAATATTCTTTATTATTATATATATATATTTATTTAGATAGCTATGTTAGTAGTTTTATTAAATAAATATTAACATTACTGCTAATAATACAAGCTTAATTTCCAAGTTACAGCTCTCTTAGCTGCTTCTATATATGGTCAAAAATGATTTATTGCATTTAACAATAATAAATTACTATTTAAAAAACTATTTTTATTTTTTTTTATTTTAGACAGTCATGCTAGTACTTTATTAAGATTCTTGCAATTATTTTAATTATATAGATCTATTTAACAACTAAGTCTAGCATCATCTGGCCACCTTAATGGTGTCTAAATGCAATTTGCTACATTACTTCAAACAGAAGTAAACTGCTTGTCTGATTACTTAAAGTTTATAATAAAAGGGTTTTTCCTCTTTTATGACAAACTTCAACATTGTCTTCTTAGTTTTATCTTTGATTCATTTTTTTCTCTCTTTTAATTATCGAGCAAGAGAATTTTATAATTCTTGTCTAAAGAATAACAGAATATAAGAAAGAAAAACTAAAAGAGAGTAAAAAAAAAAGGTGACTAACTACAAAACCTAAACATAAACCAAAAGAAAAAAGAAAAAGATAAAAAAAGAAGAATAAAAAAAAAACAAAAAACATGAAGACACTGTTTTTGCCTATATTTGGCTTTAAAAATTCTATATAATACTAAATAAAAAATACCTCACATTTGTTTTATTTTTGTATATAATATATTTTATTTGTCACATGAAGAGAATAGTTGAGGTTTTTATTTTTCTCTTGAGTTTAACATGTGTTATTTATTGTAGATCAGGTATGTAGTATCGTGACTTCCTCATAACTAATATTATTGATTTAAAATAGTAAATAGTGTCAATTCTTTCAAAAAAGTACATCAGATTTTCCACTTTTTGATTAAAATTCTAAAAGAAAAATCTAGTAGTGAGGGCAGAAAAAAGAACCAACTTGAAAAGAAGTTGTAAGAGTTACATTATATAGAATATTATATTAAACTAAGTAATTATTTAGGCCTAAGTCCTTATAACACTTGACAAAACTCCAGAGCTTATTTACTACTTCTTTGCTTGGTAGTACTTATGTTTTACCAAGAGACTTCATTTACAAGAGTTCAAATCTTTTTAATTCTTTTTAGTTACAACTAACATGCAGTAAATAGCCTCTCTAGTTACCTCAAAGTAGAGTTTTGTTATATTTAAATATAATAATTATATAGTTTCTGTAGGTCAGACTTTTGAAAAAAGTTGGTGTGAGAAATTGTTAGGTTAAAAAACTATTATTTTACAATAGAATATTACTAATTTAATAACACTTTTTTGTAAAGAAATAAAAAAACAAAAAAAACTAATCTAAATTAAATTAAAAAAATTATAGTAAAAAAAAAATAAAAATATTAGAAAACTTATTTTTTTATAACCAATTTAGTAAGACTACTGACACTTTAATCTGTATTAAAAATTTAACTACACTTTAACTTATATCAAAAAATAAAAATTTTTATATATGATTTAAGAATTACTATATATTATTAATTTATTATAATCTTTTAACTTAAATTCTTTTTTATTTTTTATTATACTATATATTAGGCTATACATATAATATTGTATTCTTATTACATTATGTTACAATAAGTAATTATCTAAAAAAGAAAATAGTAAACAATATTGATCTTTTGTAAAAAAAGAACCAAAATTTCTATTTTTGAATAAAAAAATACTCTAAAAAAAATTAATAAATATAATATACAAAAAACTAAACTAAAAAAATGTTTTTAGTTGTTTGTCTTTTTAAGTTTTTTATAATCTTTAACTAAAATTTTTTTTTATTGTTTTTAAAATATTCTTTTAATTTGAATATTTAAATATATTAAAGAGTCTATTTAAAGAAAAAGGCTTAATTTTAATTATTAGCAGAATAAATATATAAAATATTGTGAAAAATTTTGCATACTAAAAATTTTTTAAAATAATTATGATCACAAAATTATTTTAAAATAATTTAAAAATTAATAAAACCAAAAAAAATTGAAAATATATTTTGAAATTAATTTAAAATATTTAGAAAATTTTAGAAAAATTTTAAAATTAATAAAATAAATTTAAAATATTTTAAAATATATAAAAAAATTTTGAAAAAATTAAAAAATTTTAAAAGAATTTCAAAATATTTCAAAAGCTACAAAATAAATTTTATTGATAAATTTATTTTATATAATTTGAAATTATTGCTATTTATATATTTTAATATATTTAATATACTTTTTTATTTAATTATTAACTAAACAAATTTAATTATTATTATTATTATTTTTTTTTTTAACTTATGCAGTCATGCTAGTACTTTATAGAATTCTTAAAACTATAAAAATTACAAAGAATTTTTCTAATAACTAAGTCCAGCATCACCTGGCCACCCTATTGGTATCTAAGTGCAACCTGCCACACTACCTCAAGCAGAGGTAGACTGCTTGTCTGACTGTCACTCTACAATAGGATACCACTAATCTGATAATGTCTTTTCATAGAGAAGCAAAAAAAACAAAAAAAAAATTTTTATATGTAAAAAAAAACAAAGGTATAGAGGTAAACGATAAAAGATACAAAACAAGAAATAAAAGGAGGAAGGAAAAAATGAGAAAAAAGGAAAGTGTGAAACTTGCAATTCACAAAAAATCAGATGGTCACAATTTTAAGCCTGTATCAGGCATGAAACTTGCAATTCACAGATATTAGACAACTACAATTATAAGCCTGTGTTGGGCTTGTAAAAATTATAAACTATACTAAATAGAAATTACTCTACTATCTTTCTATT